TGCCATTTGCTTTATTGTTGTATCTGTAAGGTCTTATGTGCCTATTAGTTCAGCTCTCTCTTTCCCAGTTATATTTCCCACAATTATTATTGTTCTAATTTTAAATCAAATACACAATGGTGATAAAAGTAAGTGTGCTCATCTATTATGGATCATTTTTTACCAGCTCCCATAAATCTAAATCATTCTCTTAAAAAAAAATTCAGTTCGAAATAGTAAAAAACTTGGTAAAAATTATAATAGGAATGTGTTATTAAAATTCTCAGAATAACCTCATTAGCTTAATTTAGTTTTAAAAGTTTTATACATTTTGGCTGTTTACTGTTCTTCCTTGGCCCAAATTTCTTACTTAAATATATTTAGAACAGAAAATACATTCTGAAGTTCTGTAAGATCTCAGAGAGGGCTAATGTTTATTTGTTTCTATTGATTTGTTAATTAAGGTTCAATGAGGCAAAGCCCCTTATGTCCATGAAAATGGGGATACTTCTATGAAGAAAGCTTCGCTTTTGGTCAAAAATACAGTGTACACCTCTCTGTACTGAATAGGGGCCCTGGGAAAGGAGGGTACATAACTCTGCTGAAGATCTTTTAGTTTTATAATTAGCAAAATGTGGAGAGGAGAATTTCAGACATTTATAACTCCATATAAGATAAGCTTGAGTCCTAAAATACTCATTTTTCTACCTCTTATTGAAGATGCATAATTGCCTTAAGTAGAAGTGGAAAGTTTGTTAATACAGGAGAAAGTGAGACACAGTGATAACAAAAAGTATACTTGTGGTGCATTAATCTTGGGCTGTCTTACCACTTTTTAAATATAACTAATAAGGCTTTATAGCAACTGTGGAATATATAGGTATTATATAACAGGTTCTAGATTTTCAGGCCTCATGTCATATGGTTTCAGCCTTATAGTGTATATGTTTGTATTAGTCCATTCTCATGCTGCTAATAAAGACATACCCAAGACTAGGTAATTTATAAAGGAAAGAAGTTTAATAGACTCTTAGTTCAGCATGACCGGGGAGGCCTCAGGAAACTTACAATCATGGCAGAAGGGGAAGCAAACATGTCCTTCTTCACATGGTGACAGGGAGAAGAAGGATGAGAACAAGTGAAGGGGAAGGCCCCTTATAAAACTATCAGATTGTGAGAACTTACCTTCATGAGAATAGCATGAGGGAAACTACCCCTGTGATTCAGCTACCTCCCACTGAGTCCTCTCATGACACGTGGGGATTATGGGAACTACAATTCAAGATGAGATGTGGGTGGGAACACAGCCCAAACCATATCAGTGTTATTTTGAACAACCAACATTGTTAATTCAGTATGTGGCCCTCATGATCTGAGACCAAAAAAAATACAAAAAGCATAAATAAAAATGAAAGTGGGTGGAGTGCTACACAATATTATATGTGTGACTATTGTATAAACTGGCTTAGGAAACAAATATTTTTACTTTATGGTTTTGTAGAAGAAAAAATTATTTTTAATTTACCTTATGAGAGCAACACTTTGAAATTGACTAGATTATGTAGATCTATTAGTAGCCACTCTCAATTGCTCAAGGATGGAAGTTCAATGAAAGTATCTCGTGTGTATCAATGTGGCCCTGAATTTAGAGTCATGGCATAGTATAGGAGAGTAGGAGAACAATAGATATGTACTAATAAGAATAATCAAATAAACAACTTTATTTTTTACTAGATTTTATTATATTGTTACCCATCTTCAAATCTCGTCTCTACTAAAAATACAAAAAATTAGCTGGGCACAGTGGCACGTGCCTGTAATCCCAGCTACTCGGGAGGCTGAGGCAGGAGAATTGCCTGAACCCAGGAGGCGGAGGCTGCGGTGAGCCGAGATCGCGCTATTGCACTCCAGCCTGGGTAAAAAGAGTGAAACTCCGTCTCAAAGAAAATAAAATAATAATAATAATAATCTTATTTTTATTTGACAGAGGAAAAATACAAAATTATAGAAATATACATTGATATTAATGAGCATAAGAACTTGATATGATTAATGTGACAGATGCTGAGTAAGATAAATTGACACTAGTTTTGCTGACTCAATTCTATCTCCATAAGTTATGTCTTTTTTTTTTTTTTCTTTTTTTGAGACGGAGTTTCGCTTTTGTTACCCAGGCTCGAGTGCAATGGCGCGATCTCGGCTCACCGCAACCTCCGCCTCCCGGGTTCAGGCAATTCTCCAGCCCCAGCCTCCTGAGTCGCTGGGATTACAGGCATGCACCACCATGCCCAGCTAATTTTTTGTATTTTTAGTAGAGACGGGGTTTCACCATGTTGACCAGGATGGTCTCGATCTCTTGACCTAGTGATCCACCCGCCTCGGCCTCCCAAAGTGCTGGGATTACAGGCTTGAGCTACCGCGCCTGGCCCCATAAGTTATGTCTTCTGTGGCTCTGCTGGTTTTTGTGAAGCTGTAAGACCCTGTTCCTAGTACTGTAATCTTTACATGCCAGGTCCTTGTGTCTATGGAGTATTTTTGGAATGAAAATGTGGATTGGGGGCCAGATGTGGCAAGAGTCTTTGGAAAAATAGAAATTGTGGTTCTTTAAAAGTCTTGAAAAAGTGCCTCACATAGTCCAATAGGCTACACAAAATTAGACTTTGCTTCTAGGTACCTTATGACTATAAAATTAGCTATTGAATTCCCCATCTGGGAAATATCAATTATTTACTGTTTAGAACTTTCCCTCTTGCTATTAGATGTACTAAAGACAGTGTTCTCACTTAATTTTGCTGTTTTTGCCAGGGAAAAGCAAGAGGCATTGTCTAACTTTAGCCTCCTCATCTTTCTTTTGGGCTATAAATCTCGTAAGGAAACAAAGATGTCCCTTTCATAATACAAGGTTAATATTTGATGTCAGTCTGCAAAACCTGCAAAACCTGCTCTGAGGAGGATCAGGGGTCAGTTACATTGTTATATTGAACTTTTCTGAAGGCAACTTAAAGAATGAATTCTTCAAACTGCAGTGTTATTACAAAAAAAGGAAGTATATTTTGAAAAGTGATTTATAAATGTTTAGGATACAGATTGTAATAGATCTGTATTACTTAACATTGGTATAATTATTAGAAGCATCTTAGGAACAAGTGATGATAGAGTGATTTAGACCAGAACTCTGAAACAGTGCTTGTCCCCAGGGAAGGAGCAAGAAAAGTAGATTTTCTATGATAAGAGAATATGATACTTAGGCTGGGTGTGGTGGCAAAATGGCAGCACTTGAGAGGCCGAGGCAGGAAGATCACTTGAGGTCAGAAGTTCAAGACTAGCCTGAGCAACATAGTGAGACTCCTGTCTCTACAAAAATTTTTAAAAATTAGCTGCACATGGTGGCATGTACCTGTAGTCCTAGCTATTTGGGAGGCTGAGGTGGGAGGGTCACTTGGGCCCAGGAGCCTGCAGTGAGCTATGAACATGCCGCTGCACTCCATCTTGGGCAACAGGGCGAGGCTCTGCCTTGAAAAAAAAGAAAATATGAAAACTCCTATTTCTATGTATTTCTAAATTTCATTACCTCTTTAGTTTTTATTTTTATATATCATAATATTTGTGATATAGTAGAACATAATAAATTTCTAATTTATAAGTAATGTGCAATGCTTTGCCATTTATTACTGTGGATGGCGAATCAAAAGCATTTAGAGACCACTGGTGCAGGTAAATAGGCAGTGCTCAGGTGCCTATTTATGTATGTGAATATACATACCTATTCTGTGTATGTGACTGAATGTAGGAATTCAGCATTTAGTCCCTTCGCTACTGGAAGAGATCTCCCAGAAAATTTTAACTTTATATTTATTTATGCAGAGAACATGTTTTCATGACTGGTTACCTTAGTGATTGGCATCTGTCTGCTCCTTCCTGATGACGCTTTCTGTTTTTTCTCAGTGCTCAGTGTTCTGGGGCTAAAAAGGACTTGAGAGGCCACAGAATCAGTAGACACTTTAATTTCACATATGAATAAGCAGACCCCTATTGCTAAGAGTCGCAAGTGCAGAGTAATTCTTCCTAAAAGGTGAGAAGAGAGAAAGGAAATTATTTTGCAAAGTGTTATTCAATTGATTTTATCTTTTTATTTTTATTTTTCGAGACAGAGTCTCACTCTTGTAGCCGAGGCTGGAGTGCAGTAGCATGATGGTGGCTCACTGCAGCTTTAACACTCTGGGCTCGAGTAATCCCCCTGTCTCAGCCTCCCAAGTTGCTGGGACCACAGGCACATGCCACCACACCCAGCTAATTTTCTGTATTTCTTGTAGAGATGGGATCTCCCTTGTTGCCCAGGCTGGTCTTGAACTCCTGGGCTCAAGTGATCTTTCTGCCTCAGCCCCCCAATGTACTGGGACTTTCAATAATGATGTAAAATTAAATTTGTAGATATAAGTCAAAGTGAATGGCAAAATTGTATGTGAGAATTAGAGTTGATTCCCTCTGTTCTGTTTCCTAACTTTTGTCGTTTTATTTTTCATTTGACCGGAAGTCTGGAGTGATAAGTTGTTAAGTCATGCTTGCCTTCCTGAGAGCTAAATCAACCTTTCTTCATTAAAATCTAAGAATTCTTATTAATTATGTGGTAATGTATGAACACTTGCTTCTCTACAACTTGTCTTCTTTTAGAAAGGTCCAAGACTTTTAACAAAAATACATACAGAATTAGTTGGTGATTCTTTAAAATTAGAGAAAAGTGAAATAATTACCCATCCTAACACAATTTAAAATTCGTTTTCAAGGCCGATAGCTCCTTTAATATCTACCCCTAGGGTCTACACCTTAAAGGGGTCATGTAAGCCAACAAGTTCATTTCCACAGCTTGTTTAGAGGCTGCCCAGTGAAGTCCTTAAAAACACTCCCTTTCGGAATTATTTAAGCCCAGGAATTTGAGGCTGCTGTGCGCTATGATTGTGCCACTGCTCTCTGGCCTGGGTGATAAGCAAGTCCCTCTGTCAAAAATTTAAACAATTTTTTAAAAAAGAGGAAAGTTACTAAGTTTTATGAAAAAAAAATACTCCTTTCATAAACCTGAGATTAATATTTTGTAAGGGGTAATGTGAAGGAGTGAAAAGGCCAGAGAAGAATTTACAGTTTCAGAAAATGGTGTCCTCACATTACGTAGTTTTCTAATAAAATCCAAAAATTCTAGGCAAAAATCCAGATGTTCTACAAAACTCTCATGGTTAATATTATGAAAACACATATTCCATCTGAGCATGAATTTATTTAACCATCCAAATACATCATCATGGATTTCTGATCAGTGAAATTTAGTATATTTGGTTAAAGAATGAAATTTTCTTCATCACACATGTAGTTTTGAATGCCTGCTAGGTCAGTCGGGCTTCATGCTCAGCACCTGTGCTCCCTTATATAGACGTATAATATAATTTGGGACTTACTCAGGTAAAATTTTTCCATTTCTGGCACATTTACCTTTACTATATTTTTATAGTTTTTCACAGTTTTATAATCATTTGCCATCACATTTTTTAATTCGGAAGCACATTTGTACGTCTCATATTGAGGACTCAGTTTTCTTGGAATTATATTTTCAAAGTCATTATTGAAAATGGAGTTTTTGGTAATCAAACTATTTGTTTTCTTGTATAACTGAAATTATGCCTTATTCAGTGGAGTGCCCAGAGCTTGCTCAATTTAAGAGAATTTTATCATAAAAACATAAATCTCTTTAAAAACCATGGCATGTTTCTTCCCTCCCACCCCCAAGCAGTTAAAGTAGAGACCCTCTAGAAAACAGTACCGTATGGTGACTAAGAGTTTTGCAACTATGTCTAAAGGCCAGGTATTAAAATTGCTATTGTTGAGTTGATCACTGAGTAAAAAATTGCCAGGAATTTAACAGATAACAAGGAAAGTACCTGATAACGAGTGAGATCTGTTGAAGAGCAGTCATTACCACCATCACAATGGCTCAGAAAAATTGCTGTGATTGGAAAAGGAGAGTTTGTGTGACTGCTAGGGAGATGTTTTATATTCCTTAGTCATTTGTTCGTTTAGGTGTTTAATGGACATATATTGTATATTAGATACTGTGCTTAGCACTTAGTGACAATAATTGCTCTAGTTTCTGTTCCTGTGAGACAGAATGTATGAAATCCAGGAGCAGCAATTAAATAGGGAATATATATTTTTTTCTTCCTGGTATTTCTCTGTTCTATAATACAAGAAAATTCTGTAAAGTGTTTGGTCACTCCTTGATTTAACTTGTGACTTTCAGAGAATTTACAAGAGAATAGCCATCTGCATGATGAAGTAAATGGGATTTGACTCAGATGGTTTAGAAGTCTTGGGGACTGTGGACAAACCAAGAAATTACTTAACTTTCAGGGTTCAGAATGGATATATAGAAGTCTTGTAAAAACATGGAGAAAAAATTGAGGAGAAAAGCATTCAGTGATGGATAGTTACGGCTTTGTGAGAGGAAGTAAACTGTACTACATTCCGTGAAAAATACTCCAAATTGTTCTAGATGGAGATTTAAAGACAATTTCTAAGAATAACAATTGGGTACATCTATATACTGTTCCATCTTTGTGAAGGATGAGTGAGTGACGCCATGTGTTGTTTTTTCTTTCTTTATAATCATGAGACTGCTGTTCTTCTCATGGCAGTTTTTCTAATTTAAGGACAAGTACCTAGAGGGACATGGACAACTTCTTGAATGCTAAAATTTACAATCCCCAAATATAAGTTCAAATGTCACTTTTTTTGGCATTCTGGTTTTCTGACTCAATGGCATATGAAAAGTTTGGTTTAGTAGGTAAGCTATTGTTAACACTGAAGTCATATTTCCATTTGGTAAAAAGATAACAGGATTTATAACATCATTAAAAGAGGTTGTCAGTTCTTGAAGCAGTGAGAAACACCTTATTCAGTTAAATTACTTAAAAACAAAATAATATATACTAAAACAGAAATTGAGATTATCCCTCTCATATTAAGGTGGGATAGCTTCAATTAATAAAAATAAAGTCAAACCAACCCCCCAAAATTAAAAACCATGTTTGATATTTAGGCTAAAATACTCCTAGGCCAGTTTAAAGGGATGATCCCCATTTTCTTTAGAATGAAGTTATATATTTTTGTTTATATTCCATAACAGATATGCCATTTTAGAAAATCAGAAGAGGTGTATGGAACTGATAACCTTAGTCCGGAGTGGCTAGATTATTCTTTAAAACCAGGATATACCTTTTTTTCCTTTATAAATATTTTGTGATTCAGGAAAAAAAAATCAGAGAAAAAGAAAATTACATTTAAGGGAGAGGGGACATAGTATGCCCAAGTTCTTTAGCACTAGAAGCGGGCCCAAGGCTGGGAACTGCTGGGGAGAGGACAGAGCAAGGTAAGGAGGCTCTTGGTGGAATGATGCTTGTCTTCAGACCCATATACTTTCTAGGTGAGAACCTTGAGAAGAAGCACACCTTGTCCAACTTAGTGTTTCCTACCACAGCTTAGTACTTCCCAGGCAGAATGAGCAAAATAGGTTGGTGGAAGAACAGTAGCTGACATCATAGGTGACATGGACCATTGGGTTCAATGAAGGAGCCTGTGTTTCAGAGCTATTTCAGACACCTGGGCTGAACTCTAGCTCTGCTACCCCTTTCCTGGGTGGGCTGACATGTGTTATTTTCTCTACTGAGATTATGACATCTCTATTTTAAAGTGGGATACTTACTCTTCGGATTTCAGGGAGCCAATACAAACTGTTCTTTCATTCCTGAGCTCCGAACAGTTCCATGAGAGGGATGGCAATTGGATCATCAGCTTTATTGCTGCAAAAGGAAGCTGGCAACGTGACTTAATTCTATAGCCAAATGGTCTTACTAACAGCCCTGCCCTAAGTCAATGGAAGTGTGAAGAGTGAGAATGCAACTCCCCTTAACACCTACCCAGAGGGCTTTAGGATGGAATTATTTCATTTGCAGGGGCAATCAGTAAGTCTTCCTTTTCACCCCACTCTTCCAATCTGATTTCGAATATTCTGTAAATCAGCAGAAATGAGCATATTAACTGGGTTAAACAAGATTTATGGGGCCAATTTTTTTTTTAAGTCTTGTAGGGGCCAGGTGTGGTGGCTCATGCCTGTAATCCCAGTACTTTGGGAGGCCAAAGCAGGTGGATCACTTGAGGTCAGGAGTTCAAGACCACCCTGGCCAACATGGTGAAACCCTGTGTCTACTAAAAAGACAAAAATTAGCCAGGTGTGGTGGTGGATGCCTGTATTCCCAGCTTCTTAGGAGGCTGAGGCAGGAGAATCACTTGAATCCGGGAGGTGGAAGTTGCAGTGAACTGAAATTTCACCACCACACTGTAACTTGGATGACAGAGTGAGACTGCATCTCAAAAAAAAAAAAAAAAAAAGTCTTCTAGGAAGTGCCTGCCGTGGCATCATGAGTTGTTCTGTCACCTAATCAATGATTCTTTGGAGCCAGCTAGGACAGGGCTTTCATAATGCTAGGTAGAGGGACTGTTTCCAACAAATGTTTGGGAAACCTGCTTTGCGGAGATAATGGTTTCCTAGCAATAATACCAGCCTGAACTTTCCTGAGCTATATTTTTTGTAGTTTAATCTACTAGATTGGATCAGGCTCTGATTGAGTTTTTCACACAAGCATTAAGGAGAAGAGATCCAGAGAGAGAGCACACCATCTAAAAGAAGCTGTCACATATCATATAAGAATGTCAGGATGATTAGACTTATTTTAACTACTTGGAAAAGTTTATAAGATTCCCAAAACCTTTGTACCTCCACACCTCTTTGCTATTTTTATCACCATCTGTATAGTGTCCTATTATGATTAGCCAGCAAGCTCTTGAAATGGAAAGGATTTATGTGCATGTTTTTAGTGGCAATAAAGAAAAAAAGTGGAGTGAATATTTCTGCCAGGTTGGTGTGGAACCTAGGAGGGGAGAGTAGGTGACAGCATCTCGTAGGCTGCATCTCAGAAGTCTGTGGAAAGAGAAAAAACAGAGTGTGGGAGATAGGGGCAGGGACTATATAAGAAGTCAATAATAGAAATTACTCTAGGCTCTTAGTAAGCCAGAGACAAATGGGTAGGTTTCCTGAACATAGCTAGACTGAAATTAATGCTTATAAATGTCCAGAAGTTTTTTAAAAAAGTATTTCTTAATTTATTTCTGATTTAAAAATAAAACAAACAATATTTCCCAGCAAGTTATCCTTACATCACAGATATGTTAATTTGGATAAGATTCTTAGATGCAGTGAATTGATTAATGTGAAAATTAATTTATGAATCTTAGATATCAGCAAGTGAGTAGGATTTGTGAGTTGTTTGACAATATTTCTTACATATAGTATTCGTTTTTCCTAGATCATCTGACTGCCAGTATTTCATCTCAAGAGTGGCAATTTAAAAAGGAAAAACATTTTTTCCCCTGGGCTTAGACTCCACTGAAACTTGTGGGTTGAACATTTTACCCAAATATAGACCTTTTAGTGATTAAGCTAATTTACTCTTTTCAAACTGTGACATCCTGTTTATAAGAAAGAAGACTTATAAAAAGTAATCTGAGCATGAACTAACTCTTCTAAAGTCAACATCTTGGTGAACTTATGTGTTAAATGAGTCACAAATATTTGGATGAAGGTTTTCTGGTTTTGAAAGAGAAAGTACTTGGGAAAAAATGTCATTTTGGTTTCATTGAAATGGAAACATTTGAAAAAATGAAATTCACTGGTGAGCCTATCATGTAACAGGTTTACACACATATTTCTTAAGTCGGTTCTGTGAATTTTTAGAGCTGCATCCTCTATGGGCCAACTCTTAACCATCACGAGGTGCATTTAGCCTCTATAATTCTCCCCAGAAATGATTTTTTGGTCACACAAAGTAAAATTTTTATAATATTTTGAAAGCAATATTATTCACTTTGTAAAATGTGTCCTTAAAATTATTTTTGTCCCAAAAGAAAGCTGAACTGGTGCCTATTCAAATTATTTACCTTACAAAAAAATGCTGTCTCTTTACTCTGACTCTTTAATTATTTGAAATTGTCATTATGAGCAACTTAAAATTTAATTTTCTCTACAATAATATTATGCTCAGTATTTATACTTGATTTTACTGTCCACGTGCAATTTCGGCTTGATTTTTAATATATACCTGCAACTTATTAGCAAAATTTGATTTCTCTACAATAACATTAACTCAGTATTTTACACTTGATCTTTAATATACTTGGAATTTACTGGTTGAATTTTTGTGAATTGAGCAAGTCCATGCTTTGTTTCAGCACCTCCGGTCTCTGTGCTGTTTGTCCTAAAATCCTTATCTTCTGCCCTGTTCTATTAAGTGTTGGATCTGCATTTAAGAATCTTGTTGATTATTATGTCAAGCACTTCAAACTTATCAGTTTTCAGTTTCAATTACTTTTTTTTTTTTAAAGTCTCTATTTCTTCCCCTATTCACTTACAGTATCATCTCCCAAATGTCGGTCTTTGGTCATCAGAGAGCTCTTCCTCTCACTTATCACACCAACTAAATGGCCATCAGTCCTTGCTGATCCGGCCTCTAAAATGACTCTTCATTCCATTTCTGCCCTAACTCAGACACAGTAATTTCTTAGCTAATTTAGAACAAGAGCTTCTCATGGGCTTCCCTGTCAATTTGCTCTTCTCTGCCACTAGATTTTTCTGTGCAGATAGTCAAACACAAATATATAGGACTTATCCCCCTAGAGACTTTTATCTTTTCTACCTATCTGCTTTGTGACCCGATACACATGGAGATTTATCCATGACTAAAAGTTATTTGAGTATACTATATGTTTTCCACACTGGACTATTCCATGTTTTGATTCCCATTACTTAAGACTCACTTTTTCCCGTCTTGCTTTCCTTCTTCCAGAAGTAAAAATCACTTCTTTTATGCCCGCTCATAGTACTTTTTTATTCTCCTTGCCATCATGCAATATATCCCATTGATGCTGTCTATATGAGGATTTTTTTGGGCTAAATTATGATTTTTTCAAGAGGGGTATTTGATTTCTTATTTGTGAAAATAAAAGTAGTTTAACTGTTGGAACTTAATAAGTGCCCCCATATTAATGGGGCACTGAACAAACAGTGCGTCGAAATGAACCTGGATTCTCATAGATATAGTTAGTGTTCCAAGTGGATGAAGTTCCAATTTTGAGAAGTACTTCAAGGATTAAAGAAAAAGAGCCTTGTCAATTTTTTCCTTGAGAGCTAGGGTTTTATTTTATGGCAGTCATGGGAATTTATCTGAAAAGTCAGAGAATAATGAATGGCAGTATTACCTGTAAATTTCTGTTTGTTCTCATGCGAATCACCAAGTCATTGTCTCTGGCGTTTGTTAGTGATTCATTGTACTGATGACTTTAAAATAAAAACCATCACTAGAGTCATTCACTTGTTGTTCAGTTTGGCATTAAGTTGATTAGGTAGCATGTATTTATTGGCAATGAGGTAAATATACTAAGTTAAATGCACACCAACAGAAATGTAATCCCTACCTTCTATTTGTTAAAATAGAGATGGAAAAAGAAACTTAGTACACATAGAATAATTTAGACTGAGACAGATTATATAAATGTCAATGAAACATGGAGCAAGGAAAAATCATGATGATCTGAAGAAGCAATGAAAGGTCTCATTAAGAAAAACTTAACTTGTTCCTGAAAAATAGGTAAGAACTACATGAGTGAAAATGAGAAATTCAAAATGAAGAAAATAATATGGATCCATTGATAAGAATACTAGATTTCTATGTTTTGCAAACCAAAATTCAGTTAGTAATTTTAGCAATACCTAGACCGTTTACTTTTGGGAATATGAAGTTATTTTGTTCTACTTTGTTTCTGTCTCCAGGTGGATCCGATATTGAATATCTGGACTTCTATAAGCCTGTCGTGTGGTTCTGGATCCTTGTAGGACTTGCTTACTTTGCTGCTGTCCTGAGCATGATTGGAGATTGGCTCCGAGTGATATCTAAAAAGACAAAAGAAGAGGTGAGAATGAAGAGTGTGCAAAAACACTTCTATTTAGTTAATTCAGTAAAGGTTATTTTAACTTATTTTTCTGTTTGCATTTCAAATATTTAAACATTTTAAAATGTTAGTATTTTCTATTTGGCATGAGTTTGCTGTATGAGGCTGTGGGCAAATATATGAGTTTAATTTATTCACTTAGAAAATGTTTCTGTGCCAATTGCTGTCTCAGAACTGAGGGTAATTTCTAATTAAATGAAAAAGGATGTGACTAAAATCATTTTCTTCATTATTTATTTTTCTTTTGTTTTCTTTCTTTTGTTCTCAAGGGCGCAAAATGAATTTTATTCTGTAAAGAAAAATAGAGTAGAAAATATTTGTATCAAGATATCAGTAGCATGAAATAGTGAATGTTTTAAATAATGTGCAAGTTTTTTACCTTGAAATTATTTTATTTTTCTTACTTCTATATAAATTTGTACATACACATGTATAGATATATTACAAAGCTGTATGCATTATGGCCATTTTCCCTATATATAGATTTTAACAATTTAAAAAGGTGTCCATTTACTTATCTTGTACAACTATACATGTAGAAGTGACTTAGAATTTTGACCCATGAAATTTTGGAAAATTTGAAATTTAAATATTGATTTTGCAATTCTATAGTTTGGAAATTCAATTTTGATTTTAAATTTACATATCCAGGATCACTATTAGTTTGAACGTGACACAGCAATGTTTTACTATGAAATGTGTATTTCTTGCTTCTGGGTCTTAGTCAACTTTACTAATTGTTTCAGAGAACAACAAATCTGTAAAACTTGTACCTATAGTACCTATTGCCTTCCTTTAACTATCTATTCTTAGACCAAAGACATCAGTGTCAAACTCTTTGACTGCTACAAGCATGAATTATTTGAGCATATACACCAAAGAAATAGAATAAGGTAGAAAATGATGAAATTAACTTCCCTTACAAATGTTTTCTTCATTTTCTTTGAAAGTTATAAGGTCATATAGTTTTTTTTTTTTTTTTTTTTTTTTTTTTTTTGAGACGAAGTCTCGTTTTGTTGCCCAGGCTGTAACGCAATGGCATGATCTAAGCTCACTGCAACCTCTGCCTTCCAGGTTCAAGTGATTCTTCCACTTCAGCCTCCTGAGTAGCTGGAGCTACAGGATTGCACCACCATACCCAGCTAATGTGTTTTTTTTTTTTTTTTTTTTTTTTTTGTATTTTTAGTAGAGACATGGTTTCATCATGTTGGCCAGGCTGGTCTCAAACTCCTGACCTTCAAATGATCTGCCCGCCTCTACCTCCCAAAGTGCCAGAACTATAGGCATGAGCCACTGTGCCTGGCCACACCATATAATTTTTTAATCATACCCAAGGTGCCTATGTGAACTAGCAAGAATGTAAATTATCCATACTTCAAAAATATCATAGTTCCTAGCTGGGAATTTACTTATTCAGTCTGTAAGCATTAGTCTATATCTATCTTAGTTGCAGCATCAAACAAAAATCTTTGTATTATAAACAAGTCAGTAAGACAATATGCTCGACACTCCAATTTAAATTGTATGAAAAGTCTTGCTTTGATTAGGACCTCAGTGGATTTGCCTCAACCTTAGGCTCATTGTATGTGGGGTACATGTGTGAGTGTGGTGTGTGTGGTGAGCCGGGGGCAGGAGAGACCGTGAGAAATATGATGGATGGTCATTCTTCATGTGTACTTCATGTGTATATTGAGATGCTAAAGGAAAAAATGGAAAGTTTAGCTAGGGAATGTTTTGAATAACATAGCTAAAAAGAGAACTACTCAAACATCCAGTCATCATCTGGCTTTCAAATGGATTTAAAAACACATGCACGCAAGCATTTATTTTTTAAATAAAATAGACTTGAACAGAACCTATTTCATACAGTCAGGTAGTTAGGAAAAGTATTGTTTTGTGATACACAAATACCCACATATAATATTATAAATAATATGTTATATACACATACACACTAATATTTTTGTGGTTCACAGTTCAAAAGTTTGAAACCCACTAAAGCACATAGAGTACAAAGAGAAATTTTATATCTTTATGAATTGATGAAATTGGTATAGAATATCTGCTTAAATTTAAAAACCCTGTATTATTAAAAAACAGTGCTTTTTGTGATAGGACTAGCTGAGTCAAAGAATCAGCATACTTTTCCAGAGTAATGAGTCTGCTCTGGCTGTTACATCAAAATACAACGGAATGGGTTAACCACGGACTTTTTTTTTTCCTTATAGTTCTGGAAGCTAGAAGTCCAAGAAGGTGCTAGTAGAGTTGGTTTCTGGTGAGACCTCTCGCCTAGGCCTGCAGGTGGTGCCTTCCCACTGTGTCCTCACGTGGCCTTTTCTCTATGTGCATGCATGGACAAAGAGAGCGAGAGTATGTGAACATGCGCTTTCTGGTGTATTTTTCTCTTCTTATAAGGATACCAGTCCTATCAGATTAGGACCCCACTTTTATGACCTCATTTAACCTTAATTACCTTATTAAAATCCCTGTCTCCAAATACAGTCATACTGGGGCTTAGAGCTTCAACATATGGCTTTTGAGGAGACACAAATTAGGCCATAACACCATCTTTTCAAATAAAATTAAATTTCTACATAACTGATTCATTCAAAATGAAAAAGAAGGCTGGATGTGGTTGCTTACACCTGTAATCCCACACTTTGGGAAGCTGAGGCAGGCAGATCACTTCAGCCTAGGAGAACAAGATCAGCTTGGCCAACATAGTGAAACCTCATCTCCACTAAAAATGTAAAAATCAGCTGGGCGTGGGGGTGGGTGCCTGTAGTCCCAGCTACTCAGGAGGTTGAGGCAGGGGAATCCATTGAACCTGGGAGGTAAAGGTTACAATGAGCGGAGATGGTGCCACTGCACTCCAGCCTGGGTTAACAGAGCCAGACTCTAGTCTGGAAAAAAAACCAAGGTTGTGTGCCTACTTATCAGTGATCTTCATGACTGTCAACTGAGAGTATGAGATGTATCATTGTGTTTTCATGCTAGTTAAACGTTGCAGGGTTTTGTTTTGTTTTTTTCTTACCACACATCTTTTGGTATCTACCTAGTATTCTGGGTAGCATGTACTTTCTGGTGATTGCATCTGTTGGAAGCTCACTTGAGTTAAGGCTATGACCAAAGCTTTAAGTGAACCCTGCAAAGATGCAGCTGCTCTGGACAGTTGAGCCAGTTGAAATGGAGCTTTCAATGGGAGCAAATGTATATATTTTCTAATTTATAATACAATGTAGGGAACTGCAAAATGAGGTCACAAATTCAACAGAGAATGTGAAGAAAGAGAGAAAGACCCCTTATAATTTGTCAAAATATTATAATTGCCAAAATTTTTATAAACAAAACACTACTAAAATTTCTAAAGCAATGGAAAAATGATTATTAATTTTAATTTTGAAATAACTTGCTAAAGGGTATAAATTAATAAAAACCCACTAAATATATTTTAGTTGTCATCTTTATGTAGACGAAGCTATCATCTCTATGTAGATGACGCCAGGTGACTGCTCAATAGGTGTTCATTACTTTCCATGCGCAAGTCATCTCAGGCACTGTTAGTTTTAAAAACCCTCAAAGTGTTAAGAAACAAGGTTATTTCTAGTTTTCAGTTTTGATGAATAAAAACACTAAACATTTTTGATAACTGGGAATCCTCTTCACTAAAAATTTAACTACTACAAAGTATAAAAAACACAAAATTAAATATAGCTTCAAATAAGCATACTTTGACACATGCTTTCCCTGAATGAAAAGATTTTGGCTAATAACCCCAGTCTTATATTATTTTTTCAAAAACAAATCTGCATAAACCATATTGGTTTAAGTATGGAAATACAGATCTAGTCATATGTGCCCTTATTCCATTTCTGCTTTTTATGTTAAAAGATATTCTGTTTCCAGCCAAGGCACTGTGGCTCACGCCTGTAATCCTAGCACTTTGGGAGGCCAAGGTGGGTGGATTAACTAAGGTTAGGAGTTTGATACCAACCAGCTTCACCAACATGGTGAAATCCTGTCTCTACTAAAAACACAAAAATTAGCTGGACCTGATGGCAGGTACCTATAATCCCAGCTACTATGGAGGCTGAGGCAGGAGAATCGCTTAGACCCAGGGAGGAGGAGGTTCCAGTGAGTTGAGATCATGATACTGCACTCCAGCCTGGGTAGCAGAAAAAGACTCTGTCTCAAAAAAAAAAAAAAAGTTTGCAATGAAGAATAATTTTAATGAAATTATGTTTTGTTTTCCATAAACGTTGAAATACAACATGATATAGCTAATCCATCTGAAATATTTGAAGAGGAAATGATTTGTTGAAACACACTATATAGTCAAAAGTGCCACATGTAATTATAGTTGATCTGCATCAAGGAAAACAATAGTGAGCTTGATAATTTTCCAGTTTTCCACTGAAACATATGCATGTCTGTAAAAGCTTTTCTTTGTCTTTTTTTTAAGCTCCAGTGGCGGGTAGGCACATGTTTTCATAGAAAACTAATCTTTTCTATGAAACTATGTACCATCTTCTGAGGAAATAATGCTTCCACTTACAAAATAAAGCTTATTTAGATATTCTGGATAATACAATAATACTGCTACATGAGGGAGGAATAATAGAAGTAAGATATGACCACGAAACTCAGAAGGTAAAATCTATGCTTGCTTAGGAAGAAAGCAGGGAGTAGGGTGTCATTACTATGCCCAGGCATACCTCAGGTTCCTACTGTTTACATTTCTTGAGCTTGAAAGGGCCTGTAATTTCTACATACTCCTTGTATTGATGCCCATGCACCAGTGTTTGGGTGTTCCTGTGCACATATGAGATAACCAAAGCATGCAAGTGTTGTCAGAGCAGGTGGCACTATAGCTGGCCACAGTGAATTGATAGCCAAGCAGTGCTTCTCTGCCTATATAATTTCTTAGTCTCTGGAGATGTT